TTTTAGTTTTCTATACAAAATTACAGTTGTAAAGTAAATTATTAGAGATTTGTTTATTGTTATTTATTAAATCTTTATGTTAAATGTAATATTCTAAGAACTCTTCACTCTAGTGACGAAATCATTTTAAAGTTATTAAACTTAGAAACTTTAGAATTACGTAGAAATATATCTTACGACACCTATCTCCCGATCTCCGAATAGCTGAATAACGAGAGATTGATGATTTCACTGCCCCACGTCATTACCAGGGCTGCCATTTTTATCTTGAAGAAAAAAATAGTGTAGAGCAAGGCATAACCATAGGCTTGGAATGACTGGGGCTTAGAGGGCTATATCCCCCCCCCAGAATTTTATTAAGCCCCCCGGAAATCTGTTTAGCCCCCCGTATGTAAGGTTACTGTTTTATACGTTCATATTATGTGAGAACTGAAAACATTTTCTATTATTATTGCGAATAAAAACATTGTTTAGAAATTCTATGATTTTCAAGTCTATTGTTAGGTACTTCATATTGAAGGGACTTAGCCAATATTAATAATCCTGAAGATGTTCTTAATATATTTGCCCAAAAAAGTATTATTCTTTTAAACCTTATATTATAGTAAAAATTTCCAATTTAAAATGTTTTTTTTAAATTTTAATTCAAATACAAAATATGTATTTGATAATGATGTATGGTATATTATTTATTTATATTTTACTTTAAAATGGACTTCTTTATTGGGCATAACGCCATAACCTGGTCTGACAGCTGTATACCACAAAATTGAAATTAAAGTATATCTACTGCAAGCCGCTAGGATAGATTTTTTCATAAATAATCAAAAAACAATAACTGAAGGGGGACATTCCAAAAGTGGTGTTGCCATTTTCTTAGAAATCTAGTTATATATGTAGATTTTCTTATATAAGTACGAGGTGAAATCAATTTTTCCGGGGAAAATACTTTGGTACAAATTCTGAAATGTACGGTACAAATTGTAGTACAATTAATGCTAAAAAAAAAAATAAAAAATTCGAACATTGGGTTGCCAGGGTAACCCACCTATAAGTACGTTATTTTACCGATAATTTGAGACTAATTTTCAATTTTTGCAGACAAATAATTTGTTAGCAAATCAAAAGAAACTGATGACATGCTGGTGAAATGGTTCAAAAAATTAACCTTCTCTACTTTTTTCTATACAAGCATTTTGAGGATAATTCTCGAAATTTTGGGGACTAATTTTAAATTTTGACGTCAAAAACGACGATTTATTAAAAACTTTGCAAAAAAGTAAAAAAATCCTATTTCGCCATTTTTCACTCCAATAAAATAGGTGAATTTCTTAATTTTTGCAACATTTCACCAGCATATCAACCGTTTTTTTTGATTTATTAAAAAACTATTAGTTCTCGAAATTGGGCGAATTATCTGCGAAATGATGGTATAATTTTGAAACCGCTAACAACATATATAGTTTTATATTTTTTATACCGGACAGGGAATTTATTTGTAAATTCTGAAAACCAATTTGCGAATTATTTGTAAAATGTTAGTATCATTTTGAAATTCGTAGCTCAAAATGGGGGCTGCGTGAAATTGGCCCCCTTGTCTTATTTTTCTTATACCGGTTAGAGAATTTATTTGTAAATTCTAAAAACTGATTTGCAAATGTTTGCAAATTATTTTCAAAATAATGGAATAATTTTAAAACCGTTAGCTACATATATAGGGGGGGGGGCTGTGTGAATTTGGCCTCCCCTGGCTCATTTTTTTTATACTGGACAGGGAATTTATTTGCAAATTCTGAAAACCAATTTGCAAATATTTGCAAAATGAGAACATAACTTTCAAATAAATTGGTGGATATAGGACATTTTTTCATTACTTTTCGCAGAACTTCTTACCTGTTACTTTATGACACCATTTTATATAAAATAAAGAACTTGGTTGCATTAATTTTTGGTTGGGATTATAACAAGGCGTTTCTCCTCCAGAAGTTTAATCTGTTACGACTATGATGACACAGACATTTTACTTTTCATACTTTGACAAAATCTCAAAATGTATTTGTACATTACTAAGATTATAAATACCATATAAAAAGTCTAGATATTACACACTACTATGATTATTTCTTTTCAAGTAAAGTTTAAGAGACCTAATGTTCACAGTTAACGTCCTCATTAAATCTAAGAAAACATCAAGCTTTCATAGTTTAATTTAAAAACACAGTTTGATGTATTAGACCGCTAGAAAATAAAAAGTAAAAAATAATTAATGCAGATTCATTGGTAATTTGTAACTGAATGGAGATTTTCGGTTTTTATTGTCTTAGCGGTACTCTTGTCATATATATTTTAAAATTACACAATTAAATAATATTAAAACAATCTGCACAGTACAGACAACCCACTACAGGACTACACTTGTTTAACAAAAATTACAATTTAAGTTTTATTTAAACTGAACATGTTCATACAAGACATATTATATAATTTTTTTTATAAATACAATTTATTGGACAGCATATGTGAAAAGAAAAACACACAATGCAAGTATTGAGCACCTGATGTTTTAATACAATATTAGGTATTGTAATATATATAATATATAATGTCTAGGTAATACAAAGTAAATTATAATATATAATAATAATATTCATAAAATATTTTTTTATCTGTATGAAACAACAGTGCAGCCTAAAAGATTAATCATACATATTATGTTTAATGTAATTTATAACAATTGTTTATGGGTAACTTGAATGGTGTAAACATAGTTTTTTATAATTAAAACGTTCAAACACAAGTTCAATACAAAATTATTAAATAAATATAATGCTGAGAAGTATATTCTAACATATGTATATTATATTTTATATATACACAGTTGTCATGGAATTTTCGACTGTTTTGAGTGTGATTTTGTTTGCATGCACTCTTTCACCATCAACTTTATTATGAATAAATTGCATTAAATATTTGCACACTGGACAGTAATATTGTACTGTTTTATGTTTATTATATTACTAGGACAATCAAATAAATAATTATGTACACATTTCTCATAACATTTTCTGTATAAGATTAAAGTTATTATATTTATAATTACCTAAGTAATTATGTTTAAGTAGACAGCGCAAAGGAAGACTAAAATAAGATGTGTAAATATTTTATATAGTTATTATAGTCAGAGCCATGAGAAGTGAGCAGGGACCAATGTGGTCCTAGTTTACACTAGATCCAGATTCAAATATTAATAATGGATACTAAAAATGTTGCAAGGCATGTGCACTTGAGACTCTAGCGCACGTCAGATGAACATGTTGAGAACTCATGACTACATGAGTTGATATGACGTCACTCACCGATTACTTTTTGTGGCCACCACTAACCATTATAATTATAATGATTGTTATTTCTATAGTGTATTTTATATTTTCAAAAAGTATTGATATAATATCATCAATTAATAATCTTAGACTAGTATAGAATGATAGTGAAGTATTGTTTTCTTTTACATTATTATTAGTAATATTCTTTTTAAAACTTATTTATGAAAATTATAAGAATATTACCCAAATCTTAATCTTTACAATATAATAAACTTAAAAGATTTTTAAAAGCAACAACTTTAATACTTAACAAATTATATCATATTGTATAGTTACCTATTACAATTGTACTAATAAAAATAAAAAAATGAAATATTTATAAAATAATATATAATAAACATAATAATAATTAAAATAATAAAATGTAGATGAAGTTAATGTACATAATTAATGATGGTATAATAATAACTTTGTCTCTATGGTAGTATGGTATATAAAATGTCAAAATTGTATTTCTATATTTTAATCAAATTTGTTTAATTAATTATTTACAATGTTTTGCTACCTAAATTAAACAAATTATATGTAAACCCATCACAGCCGAATAAAGCATTTTTTTTTTTCATACAACCATTGTTTGCACACATTATACCCATTACCCAAACTGCAATTATGTTAGATATTATTAATTTAATTTATAACATAATGTAAGAAATGAATAGCATTATACTATGATACTAACACAGCAAGATAAAAAATGTAACTTTACATACACTTGGATTATACAGTTTTAAACTGACGACAAAACATAAAAAAATTTATCCGGTGTAAATAGCCAAAGCTTAGTTGAACAATAAAAAATTGTAGTAATGTCTTTGAACGAAATAAATTAACAAATGTATTATAGTGCATGATATTGTAGAATTTTTAACTTTAAATTTATCCTTATAATGATTCCAATGGTGTAAAATGTGTTATGCAAATATAATTTTATCAAAGCTTAGTTAATGATTGTAAATTTAATACTTTTTTTTTGAGACATTTTTACTACAAAAATATAAACCTAAAAACAATTTAAATCTAATTATTTTAATAAGTATGAGTATGAATATTGAGTAATGATAACAATTTAATAAATTGATAGTTTTAAAAAGGAATAATATATTTAATATTTATAAAATAAAATTATCTTAAATTTCAACATAAAAATTTAATTAAAAATACATTTTCAATAACAATAGCGGATTTAAGAATAAAAATGGCACTAAAATTGTAGCTATTCAATCAGTATTATTACTGAACTTTAAGATGTAAGTATGTCTTTTTATAAGTGTATTATATAAATTTACTACTCACAATTTTAGTTTAACTCATAATGACCAAAAGTAATATTAGGTATTACAAAATAAATAATACATTTATATTACAAGGCATTCACATTTGATATTTAACCATTATTTTTTGTACAAAAGTCTACTGACTTTCTAGTTATTTACATTTTTGCAAATACATTAGGTTTACCTAGTCAATGCATATTAAATAAAAAATATAATTTCATTAAGAAAATCAATAAAACGTAAAATGGCAAATGATTATACAATATTATTTATTACATATTTATATTCTCCCCCAGAAATGTATTAAGAATGTTGATTAACTATTTGGTCTTAAATAAACTTATTTATTGAAATTCGCAAATACAGCCCAAATTACGTCATTAGTAGAACCTTTCATTGACTCAACTTCTAAATCCATGTCTGATAATTCTCGTAATCTTCTAGTGGCTAATTCATAATCTTCATCATTTAGTGGAGAAAATGCACTTTCCAGTACATCTGATGCTTGAGCCAACAATAATAAAGCCAACAGTCGTTTATCCATTCTATGTGGATCATTAATCCACCGAGACAAAACAGCATCTTGCACCTAATATTTTATATCATAAAATCATAATAAGTCAATTAATATGTTAATAAATGAATGAAGAAAAAAATTGTTATGTAAAATGCAGAATACATAAGCACAATGTAATACTGAATTGATTACCTTTTTAACTAGCCTAACCTTAGCTTCATTATCTGTTAATGGATGCGTAGTCATATCAAATAAAAGGAAGTTTTGTTTTTCAGTGGTGAGAACACCTTTTTCTACTAAGTTTTTTGCTAATCGTTCTCTAACATTTTTCAGTTGATATTTGATTTTCAAAGGATTCCACGTTTCACCTGTAAATAAATATAAAATTAATCATACTGTTATAATAGTAATAAATGCTGATTTTTTTTAAAAAAAAACTTTTATATTTTACACACCACTCAAATATTCAATCCAACTTTGTATTGTTTCAGGAGGATTGGTCTCTTTGATATGTTTGAGAGCTTCATCTAACAAAACATCACCTGTAGGCGTCTCATTTTTTATAATTACTTTCCTCATTTGTAGGCTTTTTCTTCGCATACCAGCTTTTTCTAGTTCAATTCTTTGACGAAGTGCGAGTTCAACAAGTATACATCCACGTAAGCCAGATGAAATTGAATCATTCCAAAACGATGTATACCCCTACAAAATAATGATAAAAGTGAATAACTTTTCGTAAATATATAATAGTAAGCTAATATCATTAATAATTTTTTATTTTATTTAATTTTATTTAATAATGTGCTTATGTTTTGAATATGTGAATGAAATAGATTAGGAATAATGATAGGTACTTAAAACTAGGTATGGGCCAAACACTTTTAATATAATATCATAAAATATAAGCATTGATTTTTTGAAGTAAAAATTATAAATTTTTAAATATAAATTGATTTTTGTGCAGGTATTGCTTTAATTTATTTTATTACTCCATTTATCATAAAGTTTATGTTCAGTTAATGTATTAATATTTGATATAATATGTAAGATTATCAAAAAATATTATTACTATTGTAAAGTACTCTTGTTACAGCTAACAGCATGTCAACTGGAAGGTTAAAGATATTTATTAAGGGGATTCGATACCGTAATTTTCTGTTTTTGTGTAACACACTCGTGACATAGTATTTTAGACGTGTTTTCTGCCACAAGATTTCTGAAAACAGATTTGAATTTGTCGTCAAGTCTACTTGAAATCGACTTTCCCACATTTTTGATTTTTTGATTTTAACTTCTCCAAAAATTGAAATAATAGAATTTTTAAATACTCTTTTTGAATATGACATTTTAAAAAATTTGGGGGATAATATCAAAAATGTCGATTTCAAGTAGACTTGACGACAAATTCAAATCTGTTTTCAGAATTTTTATTGCTTCATTAGATCAATTGGTATGTTTGGCAAAAAATACATCTAAAATACTATGTCGAGCGTGTGTTAGACAAAAATAGAAAATCACGGTATTGAATCCCCTTAATATATTACTTACACTTATCCTATTACTAACATTTAAAAATTTCTTTAACAATTATTATACTTATACTACTAATTTGAAAGAATAAAAAGTGATTGATTTAAGATTTCAGTGATATTTAAGTACTTGACAATTCTAAAGTTAAAGTTCTAGGCTACGTATAAATTTAAAAATTATGATCTTTAATTATCTGTGTAATTATTGTGTTGGACTTGTATAGTAAATATTACAGTAAAATGATACAATTTTCCAATATTATGTAAAAAAATAATTTAAAAAATGTATTATTTATTTTATTAAACTAGCAATTAATACTTGTATTCAAAAGGTTAGGTAAGGTCCTTAAAATTAAAGTGATCAATAGGTTAAGTCATTATTTTCCAAGTAAACAACTATAATCAATCTACCACTGTCAACAATTCTTAAAGCTAATAAAAATATTATCATTATTAATTCATAATAATAATTTACCTATTTGATAAGTAGGAAATTTTTTAAAAATATAATTAAATATAATATAAATATCAAACATAAGCAGTGTATTGAATTATGAATTACTGAAATATCTAAACATTGTGTACCTACATTAATATTCAACGAATATGGGGCTTAAATAAGCCATACAGAATATTATGTTTGTACAACTGTTTGTAACTGGCCCTTAGTAACACAAATATGTTAAAAAGTAGATAATATTAGAATGGTCATAAGTTATGTCACATAACAAATAAAGTTATTTTGTTTTTAGTCCTAAGCCTATTTGCACCAGTATTACAATATTATTATTCGTTATTATTTAAGTAAATCCTCGAGTAAATCTTTTTATTTATTGGACTACTGCCTACTTACTTTGATTGTAAACTTAAAATAGTTTTAATCCTACAAACAAATTTAAGTAGTATAACACATATTAATTCTTAGCATCATTAATTCAGTATTGAAAAGAATAAGGGCTGTCATATAGTATGCGGTCTATCGGTGAATTTAAGAGTATAGTATGCGGTCTACCGGTGAATTTAAGAGTATAGTATGCGGTCTACCTGCTATTTACAAATATCGTATGCGGTCTACTACAAATAAATAAAGTATCAATTATATCATAATATTATAGTATAATTGTTGTCAAAAATGATGAATATTGTGCATTATCTTAAATAATTAAAAAAAATTAATAATTAAAAATTTGTTTGTCAAAAATATTGTTGTCAAAAAAAATAAAATATAATAATAATAATAATTTACAAAAAAAAAATTATGTTGTTCATATTACAAAAACTTCAGCCATATCTCTCAAAAATGCATTAAATAAATCCGATTTATTTATTCCTCGCCACCATCTTTTTCATGCCGCTTTTGAAAACTACTGGGAAATTTTCGTTGTTGACCCCCCCATAGTACCAACTAGATTCACTTTCCTATCAGAAAAGCTACTGTTGAAGAAAATCCAAGCACTTTTACTGTCCTAAAACGTGATGACTGACACAAAGAAAAAAAAAAAAAAACACAACATTGTAAAATCAATACATTCATCGTTTCACTCAGAATCTAAAATAAACTTAGGCCTGTCTAAAAACCGTCCGGTCGTAGGTAGACCGCATACTATATGACAGCCAGAATAAGTACTTTTATTTTGCATTCAGAATACATATTCAAATATATAAGCGCATTTAGTAATATTATTATTTATTAATATTATGTAGGTACAATACTTTTTAAATAATGTAAAATAATTATTACAGAAAAGTTATATACATTTCAATTTTATTCTGAAAAAAGTTAATAATCAAATATACAAATCTACCCAAATAAAAAAATGATATATTCGGAACATGTATTTAAAAATATTTTTTTAAAGTATCTAGAATTGTATTTAAGTATAAAAAAGTATTTACCTACCTAAATAGGCTTCATGCAAATACTGTACAGATTTTCTAAAATAAAATAATTAAAGAATATGTACCTAATAAAAGTTTTAATATTTAATCTTAATTAACTTATAAGTTTAATTATACCTATGTTTAATATTTTATAAGTAGTTAAGAGGATTTGGCGAAAGTGTAGTTACACGCATTGTTATTAGATAGGTACATATTACATATACAAATAATTCTGTATAAAATGTGGTGAGTGACAACTCACCTAATATACTTTTATTTTTTATACAAAAATAAATTCATTATAAAAACCATTTATATAAACAATAAATAATCTATGAAAGTTATAAAATAAAATATACAAAGAATTTAGTAAATAAAATAAGTCTATATCCTAGATTTCTTATTTAAATGAAATAGTCTTTAGAAAAATATTACTATGCTAAATATTTACAGAGTACATAATGATCATAATGAATATTATACTAAATACTAAGTACCCAACCCGACCCAACTACAATAAGCACATATTATATAAATTTAATATTTTTTTTCAATTGTTTATGGCATTTTAAGCAAGGTAGCTACGGGTAGCTATAAAAAATTACCGAGAAATATAATCATAGAAATTTGAAAGAAATAATTCGTAAATTCATAAAATAAATACTTATGCCTAATCTTATGCAAGTAACTAGTAAGCATAAGTGGTAATTTTGTGAAATTTTAACAACAGAAAAAAAATTGATGGCTGCAAGCTTATAAATAACCGAGTAAATAACTTAGTGTCTATCGAGGTGTCTATCAATAAAATCAATTGTTTTATCTGCAATTTTAAGTAATTTCTTCACAACATATTTATATCAATATGGCACTACCAACCATTTAATATTTTCTATAATTGTATAAAATACGTTAAATTAACTTTGATTAGTTTAAAAGCAGTGGTTGAATTGGGGGGGGACGCGGGGGGGACGGAGTCCAACTTCTATTTTTAAAATATTTTAGCGTACCCCTTCTAATTTCAAGAATTGATAAGACATTTAAATGTTGGGGGGACGCACAAATGTTTTATACTTTTGCATACCCCTTCTATTTTTTTTCCAATTCAAACACTGTTTAAAAGAATACCTAGGTACCAAATAGAAATTTAAATTTTTAGGTTTTAACTAACCAGCTGACTTTGGCTGTTGGGCTGTAATCGTATATGAGGCATATCGATTCATGTAGGAAAAACTTAGTATCTAAAGTATCTAAAATCTACTAGGTACAAATCTACTAGGTACTAATGAAATATGATTTGGGTCAACATTGTAGCAAAATAATAATACATTACACCGCCTGAAAAAAATGTACCTAGACCAAACAATTTATGAAATTAGATCCATGCAACAGGATCTTATCACAAAAAAGGACAAGAGTCCAAAATATAATTTTGTTTCAAAAAAAAATATTTGTTTATTAGGTACTTATCAAAAATAAAATAAAATGGACTAGGTAGGTATAATGTTTTTGTAGGTAGATACTATGGATGATCGCCTACCAATCATTTTTCTAATAGTAATACAATGTTCAATAGTAATTAGAAAAAGAGTATAAGTTCTTAGCCTATTTGAGTTCTCTGGGTAGATGATACTTCATCTATGCTTGAAACAGTATTATGACTTTGATACTCCTAGACGGGTATTCGTATAAACATTTGAGATGTATACACCTAACGGGGACCGTGAATCTTAATAGAAGTGAATGTACACCTAAAACACATTACTTTGTCGTCAGTTGTCTAGCCGGGTATTCGTGTAAACATTTCAGACGTATACACCTGACGGGGACCGCGAATCTTAATAGGAGTGAACGTACACCTACAACATACCTCTTTGTCTTTGAGACCAAGCAGGAGCACTTCTTCCATTAACGTGAGCCGCGTCTCTTTAGAGTCACCGTCGTCGATGTCTTCCTCGTAGTCGAGTTTGTCGGCCGCCGACTGGCCGTTCTCCTTGGAAACGCCGTCCGCGCTGTCCCTGTTGACGTTGCGCCTTTGCACCAGACCGTCGGCGCGGCTCATCATCTTGGAGGACCGTTTGTGGGTACTCGTCTGCGGTCACCCGGAAATCACGTCGGAAACGGAATTTCAGCGAAAAAAAAACCCAAACCCAACGTCCCGAAAAAAGTAAGTCGCCGTGCAAGAGTGGGTTTTTCGTGCGTTTTCACTTTTTGACGCGAATGCGAATTCCGCGAGGGCGAGAGCGCACAATTATTGATAAGGAATAGTTGGATTTTTTTGTTGACGTCTACACAATTGCAGCAATGGCATATAAATTATAATAGTAATAATAATATCGTACGGTGATATCACAATAATTCACGATAATATAATACGTTTTTTCACCGCCCCTTCCCCCGCGCACAAGTACGAAAACTGAAAACAACAGTCGTAGACGCCAGACGGAAGATGTATGTTATATTGTTATCACAATATCGCGTCGTGCAAACGACTTCGAAAGTCGAGACTCGAGACTGCGGTCGCTGAAACGTTTATTATTATTATAGTTATTTCGTCATTCATTATTATTAATTACTGTAGAATTTTGGAGGACTACGCGATCTGTGATCGAGAATTTTCCACGAACACGGCATGGAATAAAATTATGAATCTAATCTCACTTGCGATTATAATTAAATACAAATGCATAGGTGTAAATCATTGATTAATATTTAATATATGTAATAAATAATATATATATTTTAATCAATGGTGTAACATTAAATTTCCGTTCTCTTTCATGAACAGGCGAACACCTTTCTTCAGAAATACGTATAAAGATAATAATATGGTTGCCAAGTTGCTTACTCGTGTAATATAAATTAAAAGTCACAAGACAGTCGTGCTTGCGTAGTTGGGACTTTGAAGTTTGAGAGCAAGGGAAAAATGGCATAAAAATCATGAATATAGATATTATGACTATAATATCTACAATCTATAGCCGTGATTAAAATATGAAATATTCTTATCAAAGACGATAAAAAAAACCTGCTCACGGCTACCAATGGAAATTGGAAGCTGTGGTGTATAAATTGTGGATGTACTATAGCCGTGAGCCGTGATCATTGTCATAACGTATATTGTTCTGTGCGTATACGTTATGTACGTCATATGGTATATCTTCCGTGGTCATAAATCATAAATAAACAGATATGGTCCATACTCCATTGGTTCATATTAGGCATTAGAGAGCCTATAATCTATATTATAAAGGCTTTTTTGTTCATATCAAGGTGGATTGATATCAATCCACCTTGGTTCATATCATATGGATAATTATAGGACAACCCATTTTGAAAGGGGAATTTGAGACAGCACTAAATGAGTTGAAACACAACAAAGCTACAGGCATAGACAACATAAGTGGAGAAATGTTAAAAGCATTGGAAGGCCAAGGAAAGGAGATATTATTTAAAATAATATATGATGCATATGAAAAAGGGCTAGTCCCCAAAGATTCCGAGAAGTGCCTAATGATAGCATTACCGAAAAAAAAGAAGTCAGAAAAATGACTTAGAAAAAGCTTTCGACAACGTCAATTGGGAAATATTATTCAATATTATGAAAACCATAAATATCGATATTAAAGACAGAAGAATTATTCATAAGTTATATTTAAATGAAAAGGCTGTTATAACAGATAAAAGAAGCAGATCATGGGAAGAAGCAAATATTGAAAAAGGAGTTAGACAAGGGTGTAACTTATCACCAACACTATTTAATCTGTACATTGAAAATACTCTAAAGCAATTAAGGGAAGACGAAATTGGAGGAATTAAAATTAATGGTATGCTAGTACAAATGTGGCGCTTTGCAGACGACATAGCATTGATTGCGGAAAGTGAAGAAGCTTTAGGCAAAATGTTAACAAAAATGAATGATAGCTGTAAAGAATACAAAATGAAAATAAATAAGAGCAAGACAAAAATATTAATATGCAGCAAGCAGGAATTGCTTTCGAACATAGAGATTGAAAATGAGAAGCTGGAAACTGTTCAATGTTTTACATATCTAGGAAGCAAAATAACACATGATGGAAGAAGCGAAATAGACATAAAGAGTAGAATAGCACAAGCAAAACAGGCATTTTACAAAAAGAAGCACTTATTAACGGCAAACACGGTTAGCTTAAACACCAGGAAAAATCTTATAAAGAGTTTCGTATGGAGTATAGCCCTCTATGGGGCAGAAACATGGACGATACTAAAAGCGGAAAGAAAAAAGATTGAAGCATTTGAAACATGGTGTTGGAAAAGAGCACTGAAAATTGCTTGAACAGAGGTTAGAAATGAAGAAGTATACCTAAGAATGAACGAACAAAAAGCAATATGGAAGACAATCAAAGAAAGGAGGAAAAAATGGATCGAACATATTATGAGAAATAATGAATGGATAACGACAATAATAGAAGGAAAAATAGAAGGAAAAGCTGGAAGAGGTAGACCAAGAACACCATTTATGAAACAGATCATAGACGATATAGGGAAAACCAGCTATAAGGAACTAAAAGTAGCTGTAATGGATAGGGATAAGTGGAGAGCCATCAAAGTCATTTAACCAATCTAAGGATTGATAAAAAAAAAAAAAAAAAAAAAAATAGAGTACTATCATTGATTATATAATCAATCATGCAAGGTGGATATGTATATATATATATATATCCACCTTGCAATCATGGTATTATTGTGGTCTTAGAGTCTAAGGGTTGGCAAAAACCCCAAAAAACCCTATGGGGTTTAATGTAAAAGTAATAATGGACTGTTTATAGGGTTTTTTCTGAAAAAACCCATCCGAAAAATCGGAAATTTTTCCATGTATTAGCTGCACTGTTTTTTGATTTTTCCCTTATCTATTATTTTATTACCAAGTATTTGTTATTTTGTTAATTGTTAATTTTTGTTTAGATTATTCATTAAGTATTTACAGGAAAGTTACGTATTTAATACCATATTAAAAATAAAATATTATTAACATTTCTTTACATAATAAACATAATAACAATTATTAAATATTTTACAAATCAGTTAAATTCTTTTTTTTTTATTGAACAAAAATGTATATCGACATTCTGTATTTACAAGTTATACAAATATACAATAAGTAAATGGGATTGACGAGAGGGGGAAGTCACCCAACGGTGGCACGCCGTAGTTTAATCCTTAATTTGAAAAATAAATAATACCTATGAGTAAGGTAAATTTTTCTTGAAAATTAACAGAAATTAAAAAAAAATAAGATTGAATTTCTATTTTATCTAGAAAATCAGCCCTGGTGTTATGGGTTTTTTTTTCAAATTAATGAGTGCCTAGTGGGTTTAACCCAAAAAAACAGCCCAGGTTTTTTTATGGGATTTTCAAAATATCAATTGGGTTTAACCCAGAAAAGCAGCCCGGGTTTTTTCGTGCCAACACTGTTGACTTGAGACACGATTTTATATCTTAAAACGTGGTCTTAGATCATAGTATATGATGGTACTATAGACGTTTAGGTATTTATATTGCTGACACCAAGGCTTAATTAAGTATAAATAGATATAATTATAATTTAGGTACTATATTGAATTATTATTGTTTATAATAAACAATAATAATAATTGTAATTGTAATTGTATATACAGATTACAGGCACAAAACAGCCGCGTCCGTGTCTTGCGAATTGCGATCACAGTTATAGATAATAAAGTTTATTAAACTTTAAATATTTATATTATCTTCAGCCGAGAACAAAACTTACAACTGACAAGTGACATCCTTACTGAGTAGTAGTGAGTAGTGAGTACTACAAGACGTGACAAGTGAACAAGTCCAAATGTCGAATACTTGAGACTTGAATTCGGCATTGATAACACATTATGCATTCATGCCCGATCCAAGCACATAGATGCCACTTGAGGCTGGATCAGTGTGACCACGTGCCCCATCGACAGTCCTCCTCCCAACGTACAGGCACACACATAGTTTTTTTTCGAAATGATAGAGAAGAAAAAAAACAGAACGAACAATAAATAATAATCAGAATCAAATAGCGAAAAATTTTTAATACAATTATGCCGTGAATCGTGATAAATGATAATTCCTCGATGATAATAATGATATTTTAATGTTTTTGTAATTCTACTAGAAAATACTCAAATACTCCATACTTCTCCAGTAATCCGAATATAATTATCGCCTTACGTTTTTTGTTATAACTGCGTTAACTGACACCCTTTAAAAAGACTTCTTAAAAATATAATAACAAAATTAACGTGTAATAATGCATGCAATAATGAATCATTATTTTAGTAAATAAGGTGAGTTGCATACATCTCATACTGGTTCGTTACCGATTTGTCATGCGTCATTATTATTGACTCTTTTGTTTCTAATTTTATTTTGTTGCTTTACATGGCCTTCCAGGCTAAAGTCGCGAAGTAGGGGACGTTTAATAATTATCATTATGGTGTGAACAGTCATTACAAAGCAATTCAAAATGGTGTGCGAAAATCCGGCTTTTAATTTCGATTTTTGGAATGAGATCAACCATGATTCTGTTGTGGAAGTCACTTGTTTAATGCCCAATAGTATTTCAATACCATTAACAGTTTCAACAAGCACATCTTTGCACGAGTTAAAAGAGGTATGTTGGTCACTATACACATTTAAGTATTTAAGTGTCACAACACACAGTACAATGTCATTTCATAGGAATTATGGGAGGAGGCAGTCAAATATCCCTTGCACGGTATGTTGCACGACTCAAGCAGTTACAGTATATCTTATGTCAATGCTATGGCCCAACGAGAAATGCTTGTGGACGAGAATAAGAGACTATGTGATGTACGACCATTTTTAGCAGTCCTCAATATTGTAGAACGTCAAGAAGATAAAGCAGACAATGTACTTAATGCCCAAATAAGTAATCTCATTGGGAAAGGTATGTGTCACTTTCATTTTTCCATGTTACAAGTACAATATATAAATCTATAGCATTGTATTATTTATTTATTTAGGTCTAATGGAATTTGATTCATTGAAAAGTTCAGA